TCCGAATCCCATCTCGTATACCAGGAACTGGTGATATTAAGTATATTGAGAAACATCATGGTGAAATTATTCTAGTGGTTGTCAAACGTGGTCTGCGTAATGCAGAAATCTCCTGGTACGCACAATTTTAAAATATTTCTTAGAGTAATTTTTAAATGTTAACTGTCGAAACCAAATACTCATAACGGTATTATAGATAGAACAAAACTATTATATGGTTAGAAAAAGAGAGAACATCGCGGTTTTTTATCTCTACTCGCGTATGCGTAGTTGTAGTGCGGTAAGGGGAGTTTAAAAGAGCTGTTAAAAGCATGTGTCAGTCGAGAGAGACAGATGAACTATCGCGGTCTTTATAACAGGCGCAGAACTACTTACAGCACTGTGTGTTTCCTCTATTTATAATACCTTTATGGGAAGACTACTGTATGTTAGATTAAATATTAACTATCATATTTAGAGTTAAAAATAGTATGAAAACTTAACTTGCATTTTTAACTCTTATTGTAATAGAATTTAATGAGTGTTAAAGCATTTGTCTGCTTTAAGTAGACAATATGATTAATAAGTGTAATTTGAAAAAAAATATGACTGCCGTCTTGACGTTATCATTGATTTAACTCTTGTGATAAAGTTATGCCATGTGCCAATTTAATTAAAGTATTATGAAAATCTTTGTCTTTGTTTAATTTTGCAGTTGTTAGAGAAAAAATTGCTACTACCCTCAAGTATTTTTGTTCGACCGGTTTTCTATAGGGCTTTTTCAATTTTATAGGAGATTTTTCTATATTTAATATATTTAAATTATCTCTGTTTTCGTGCAGCGTAAAAGTCCTGGACTAATCCAGGGCTTTAATATTCTTTTTCTTTACGTAAACATTAGCGGAATTGACCTGCTCACCGAGTGCAGATTGGAGGGTATTTAACGACTGTAAATGCAGTCGGGTTTAACGTGCCTTCTGAAGCACCGAGGAGCTCGAGGTAATGAATTTTTGTTCACCCATCCTCAGGCCAGCCCTTGCGAAAGTTAACTTCGGCATCACACGCCGAACCCGCTAACCACTGCGCCATCGATATCTTAATGTTAATATCATTTTTCAATAAAAAAACCAACAATATTTTACATCATATTTATTTACAACACGAATATTGCAGTAATCATGTATTTCATATAGCGACCTGTACAAAAATATCAGATATTCAACGTATTTTATATATTATAACAGAACAGTCTGAATCGTGGAATGTTATCAACATTGGAACATTTTGAAGGATCATCGAATAATGCGGTGATAATATTATATTAGTCTATTCATGAATTAACAACACACGGAGAGAATGTTCATGAACTTCATCAATTCTGTAATTATAATAATTGAAAATTTTAAACCTATTCGAACTACCCACGTATTTCATAGATAATTTTATTTTTACATAAATTGTTAATGATTTTATTAAATATAAAATAACATTAAATGCATTGCTCCAAGATAGGCCCGTCTTAAACACAACAGGCGCCCGGGTGCAAGAATTGCTCTGATGATGAAAAATAATCGTTTACCTGTAATAGATTTTTCACTATAGATCAATGTGCAAGTTTTTTTTAGTGAATGTATTCGTTTATAAACATTCGATCCGTGAGTTTAAAATATAATTCTAGCGGTAGAATATAAAAAAACTATTATAGCAATTTTAACATTCAACTAAAATCTCGACTAAATTGAAACAAACGAAATAATAAACCAAACACACACACACAAATAACGGACGCGCTCGTTGTTGCTAACTATATCATTAAAACTAATGACTCAATACCCTTGAGCCTGATATTCTTGGTGTTATAAAACATGTTTGAAAAACACTCCTTGTTTCCCGAACTTATTCATAGTCGCACTCAAATTCTTTTCTAGGTGTATTATGACAAAACAAATTATTAGTACGATTATGAATAGAGTACAATAGGGTTGATGCTTGAGTAAATTTGAGTAAAAAAAGGAAATTCTATTCAGTCCGTTGGTCAGATAATAGAAAAATATTATATACGTATATTTTTTTTTCTTTGCTTCATGACAACAAGAAAAGCCTTAGATAATAGGCATTAATGTTTTATGAGTGGAGGTTCACAAAGTCACAACTATGTAGGAAATCTACAAATGTGTGACGTCATAATATATTATTCATTGCAATACCTGACATAATAATATATTTTGCAATACCTGACCTCACAAACAAAAAAATTTGGGTCATAATCCCTATATTTGAGCCGCAAAATTTGTAGTAAAATATTTGATAATAATTCATTGCAAATGTAACACAGTAGCTATTATGCTTTACGTAATATTCTCTTATTATCATACATATTGGGTACAAACAACATCACGTATCATTTTAAACCTTATTTTGATATCAGTTAAGTTTAAAATGAAACGCGGACATTTTTCATTTTATAATAACTTGTTGTATGTACCCAAACGCATATAAAGAAAATTCCCTTAACAAAATCAGTTATGTATGCCTTGAAGTATAATAATAATGAAACAATTCTGTTTCCGATCTGAGGCCATACTATCGCTTTCGAGCGCTTAAAATTTTATAACTAGACAGAAATAATTAAAATAATTTAATAACATAAATAATAGTAAAATTATAAAACTATCGAAATAAAATTATGCACCAATAAGTGAACTTAACAAAATAAATCATAGATTAAATTCGAAGTGTTATCCATCATTAGGAACGGTCCAGGGCAGTTGTGTTCACAGCCCGTTTGCATTACGAAATTAGTGTAGGTATTGTTTTAAAAACATAAAGCTTAAAATAGAAGAGTGTAAGTCAGACGGACACGACTCGCACTGTATTTGAATGTCTATATCAATTCTGATTGGACGAAATTTACCTCCCATATTTAGTTTCCTGCATAGCATAGCAATTGTATCTTAATGTACCAGACTAATCAGGCTCGAATTAACCCTACACTTAAAAATGTGCCACCCAATTATGTTTTAGTCAAATTAATAGCCAGTTGCACAAACGTCCATTAAAATTGGCATTAGATTGAAACGACATTACCGATACAAATTTGTCAGTAATTACAGCTTAAAGGCGTCATTAAACCTTAATGGAAGATTGTGGAACTGACAGTTAGTCATTTAAAAAACTAAAATAAAACCAAATACGCAGATCATAATATTCTTCATTTTTACCTTCAAATTTACACATTAAACAACTTGAAAGTAATTTTGAAGAAAAAAATTATCACTAATTTCGCAATGTAAACAAAACTTTCATAGTGAACCGGAAGCAGCGACAGATCTATTATTGAATACAAACATTTCGGATATTCTTCGAGCGACATAGCTTCCTATTACATATAAACAATAGCATACCTCATTCCATATATTCTATTTTACATTCTAATTATTATTTTATTATAAATAACAATTATATGCATGTGATCCACGCATATTGACTATAAGTAATGAAAGCTACCAAATATTTTTTGACATTCATGAATATGGTACCATTCCAGATAAATCTTGTTTAATCTGTGTAGCAAACTGTTACAGGACAGCAATAAAAAGTTCAACATTTAATTCTGTTCTTAGAGCAATTGAAAAATCTGACAATGACCCAAAGTATTATGTGAATGTTGAATACATTCATATCGCTATCCATAGAACTCTGTATAGTTTTACAAAGTACAGTTAGCGTCACATCTGTTGATTCGTAGATAAAATAGTTCAGTGGTGGTATGATATTTTGATCAATTTGCGTTTTTTCATCGAATTCAACTTTGGTTTCCCAGATATAATTGAACTTCTGTACTTGATCACTTTGGGCGCTTCGATTAGGAAGCGGACCGTGTTTACCAATTTTTTATAGGGGATCCACCCTATATAAAAAATCAGGTACCCAATATTAATATTAGAACTTGATCACTTTGGGCGTTTCGATTAGGACGCGGACCGTATTTACCTATTTTTTATATAGGCTCCACCCTATATAAAAAATCAGGTACCCAATATTAAAATTAGTGGGTTATAACCATACATACAACAAAACCAATACATATATCGTGCAGAGTTGTAAGGACAGCGATACATATAGTTTTCTAGGTATTGGTTTCATTTTTAACCAATCTAGGACTAGGACACAATATTTGAAATAAATTCTCCAATTAATCTGTATGATTAAATTAAAATGAAAAAACTTATTTGAAATAAAAAGTCCTATAAAATTGGTTGTACTTTGAAAGGTACAAAATATTAATTTATAATAATTAATGTCTTTACAATATGAAGAAATGAAATTATATTGTTTGTAATGACAGTCAGAAAATATATTGTATCTTTTATCATACACGGTTATAGTAAAATGTAACAAAAATACTGTAACTCTTTATATTAATGCATACTATCTTGTACTCGATGGAGAGTGTGAACACATACAAGAAAAGGGGTATTGCTTGGAAGTTGATTCAAGTGATATTTTGGATTAAAATTCCATATTACATACTTACTCACATTAAATCTACAAGAACACTTAATCAATATTTTTTAAAACTTACAAAATATCACTTGGATCACTTGATTTCTATCTTATATAAATATATATCACCTTTGATATACTCGATGGCTTATACCCTCAATGAACACATACTTTGTATTACGTAACACTTGTATTCCACAGGATAATGTATTACAGAGTATACTTCTACAGACAATGATGCAATACTGATGTGTTCGGTAACATAAATTAATAAATACTGCTTCTAACATATTATAGATACCACATCAAAGAGATAAATAAGCACACAAAATCGGAACAGTAATATTCACATTATATACAGGATACGTTTTAATCAGTGCACAATTTTCTTCTAGAATGATATATCCTAAATAGATTTTTTTAAAGTATTGTATTTGGAAATGGTACGGGACCTTTCAAGCGCGGGTCCGTCTCGCAGTTGGCTGGTTTTTTTTCTTTATTTAATATTTCATTTTGATACAAAAAGGAGGAGAATTCAAATTTGTGCACCGATAAGAAATATTCCTGTATCTGTCTCTTTCGCTCACACATACACGCACACATATATAATAAATATCGCTCGAAATTAAGACCTTACTTACGTAAACTTAGAAATTACAACAACATTTTTTACATTTACCGATAATGTGATATGAAAAATGTCTCTCTTCTATCATCAAACAATATTATTACACAGTACTTTTATTCAGACGCGAATCTGATCTACTTCTCTACTTAAATACATACAAAATGGAGGTTATGTGAAAGAGGCAAAGCAAATCTTATATTCTATTTTATCTTTGGATGTCTTTAAACATAAGATATAGATTTACGAATAGGAAATAAATATTGATAATAATAAAAAATCTTTAATATTACTACGATATACGTTTGGATCCATATTGTTTAGTGTTGCATGTTTGAGAAACACTTTCAATTCATTTCTTTTTTTGTACAGAAAATAGTCTCCAAATTACTATTGTTTATTTTATTCCGTTTTTCTATTTTTAATAGTAATTCTTTTTTGAGTCATTGATGTTAATATGAATACAATCTCAAAGTTTTCAAAGTTGTCAAGTACTTGTAGTACATGAAAATTCAAACTAGTATTTGATTTACCTATCAATCAGTACATTTTTAAAAGAAAAATATAATTTTCAGATTATGTTTTTATTGAGAATGTACTATATTCTAATAAGATACATCTAACATTCGTTAAAATGAATTCTACCCCATTTAGAAAGTTCCAATTTATTTTCTAAAGCAGAATAGATTCGCGTCTGCACTTAACATTAATCTATGTCCTACACACGTCAGTCGTATTGGTCGTTCGGCGGTCACGCGATTGGCGTCCTTATCACATATCACTTTAGGTACACATTAGTTTGGCAGTCGTTATTGCACGTACTCATAGAGTGTGGAATATGTCCCGTGCGTTATTCTTCGAATAACGCTTGTAAGAACAGTCGCTGAATCAGCTGCCACTGCAAAAAAAAAGAATTTTATTATCTCATAGTGCTAGGGACAAAGTGGATTTTTAAGCATTTTTCAATAACAAAAGGAATTTCATCTATAATTAAATCGAAAAATTGGAATTACGAATTCGAAGTCTGTTCTATACATACGCACTTTATAAATGCATACACATAACATTAAAAATAAAACTCATTATTGTACCGCTATCTTTTTTTATCCATTAAACTAGTCTATGGTTTGGTTGTATATGAAAAAAATGGCGCACGCATGCGTAGTTTGAACTTAATTTCCCGCGCTTCCAATACATTTTTTGCCGATCGTATTTTTGTATTCGAGATTCCAAAAAAATATTTTCTTATAATCTATCTACTTTGTTTAATTTAAATTTTTCCTATGAGTGAAGATAAAGTAGTGTATGAAACTGCATATAACTTAGGTATTAAAACACTCGAGTCAACCTATTATCACTATCGATAAACAGACTCTCGTGTTTTAATACCCCTTCTTATATGACAGTTGCATAAACTACTATTATTTATGATTAATTATACAAACACAAGCATTATTCTTATATCCTTATTCTATGACTTGGTGAAGGTTATTTGATTTGATTTGAAGATTGCACACGACTTAATGTAAATATTGAATTTCTTGAAGACTGGTTGTAATGCTATAATCGATGTTTCAGATATCATCGTTGATGTGTTGTATGGTATACCTTCTGTTGGGCATGGCTCGTCGCCTGGCGGTCTGTCGTTGATGTTCGAACTCGAAGTCCTCTTCGGTGAGGCTGAGCCGCTGCATGTGATACATGAGGTACTCCTCGCCCAGCACGCCCTCTGGCGGGTGACGTAACACCTACGAACACAATACTTTTATTGCATACTGTATAAATATTAGGTCCTTACATATGAAATTGGTGTTTGGTATGGGAGGAACAAAAAGTCGAATATTTTTTAATATAATATATTTATTTAATTAACGTATAAACCATTCTTATCTATGCACTTTTACCGTCTCATAGGTAGGTCATTGATCCCATTACTAAAAATAAAAACATTCACTTAAAAATGTGCTTGATGGGTGCTATAAAATAAATTGACTACTCAAGAGTCGTAAGACTTTGATCTCACTATTCTACTAGACTTGCTTATGTTCTTAGTCTAACTTCGATATCAGCACGCAATATCAATTCTTATATACTTACATTATAAAGCAATGCAATTAAATAATACGATTTTTTTTATATTCTAACTAACTACTTAAAATAATCACACAAATATTCACCTCTAAAGTTTCACATAGTCCGCTAGCCCGTTTCCGAACCTTCGCGGGACCTAATGCCCCTGCTAGGATCACCAGCGCTGCCTTAAATAGAACCTGTAATATTAAAATACTATTAACATCCAGAAACTTGCTTTATTATAATTTAATCCATTCGTCAGTTGTATTATTTTCTAAATTGCTAGACTAACAGGACGTATTATTAACATAGTGAACAAAGAGTAAAGTAATATAGAACATTTGTAGGTATTTAATATCTATAGAATTTAAAAATAGAGAGAGTGTAATATTATCCAATAATACATAATTGCTGCATAATTGGATGTAAGAAGGAAGGGAATTACTCATTTCGCGTATTCGCCAGCCAGCGTTATTTTGCTAACGGTACTGGATGTTGTAGACGACTGTCAATTGTTGTTTTAAACTTACACGATTATTAACATCAGAATGATTGCTCATAACGGGATTGCTACCATGTTATTGGTACCGTGGGATTGGTGCCGTGATCGTGGCGCTTGCAACAGAGCTGAAATATCGGTAACTCTATAAAAACAAGGTACTCATGGTAGCAATCCCGTTTTTAGCAATGATTCCGTTTACTTAATATAAGGATGGAAGAAGAAAGGGAATCATTCATTTCACGTATTCGTCGACGGACACTCGGTGGCGTAGTGGATAAGCGCCGCGGCCTATAATCATTGTTGTTAAGCAACTTTCTCAAGGGTCGGTCACGGGATGGGTGACCAAAAAATTAATATCTCGAGCTACTCCGTGCTTCAGGAGACACGTTAAGCCGTTGTTCCCGGCTGCATTTGCAGACGTTAATACCGTCACATCCGCATTAGGCAAGCGTGGAGAGTCATGACCCATTCTCTTTCACCATCCATAAGGAAGGCCTGAGCCCCTGCAGTGGGGACGTTAAAAGATAATGATGATGATTCGCCGACCAGTGTTTGTTTGCTAACGGTACATAGTGTCGAATACAACTGTCAAAATGGCCGGCGTGCGTATTAGGAAATCAGCGGGGATGATAGTAACCTTGACGCCCTCGCACAGGAAGCAGTCCCAGACGCGCAGCAAACTGTCCCACGGCAGTGTGCGTGTGAGCGCGCAGAGAAACCACTCGGTAGCGTACAGCACAGGCTCCACCTTATGCTTGGCGAGGTGACGGTGCACTGCCGGGGCGGTGCGGCGGAGCAACGCGTGCAATATATCGCCGTCGCGTTGCAGCACCTTAACGATCATAGCTCGTATTATTTTAAGTATTCAACGTATTAAGGTTATTTAAACTTATATTAAGTAGCTCGGTGGCGTAGTGGATAAGCGCCGCGGCCCGCGATTGTTGTCGTTAAGCAACTTTCGCAAGGGTCGGTCACGGGATGGGTGACCAAAAAATTATTAACTCGAGCTACTCCGTGCTTCGGAAGGCATGTCAACTACCAAGACCCATCTTCCTTAACCATCCATAAGAAAAACCTGAGCCACTGTAGTGGGGAAGTAAAAGGGCTGGTGATGACGATGATGATGAAACTTACACTAAATATACTCATTATATTATTCTTGAATTAGTAATTTTTAAAATACGTATATTTTTTCAAAATTGAACCAATATCTATGTCTTGCATGTAACGTATATACAATATATACAAGTATGACAATGACACACACACGTATTTATGATCATTCCAAAAGTAATCAAACAATAGATAGTTATATGAATCAATTAGCTATAGTATTCGACCTTCACGTACACACTTCAACTTACTGCTTCACTTATGGTTTTAACATTAAATATCTTAATAAACAGGAAAAATTTGTAGACAGTGCACAAAATTTATTTAGTTTAATAAAATTTTACTAGCTGTCTCCCGCGACTTAACAAGCGTTGATAGCCTATATCAAACGCGTATATTACAATTTCGCGTAGGTGAAAGAATTTTTAGTCTTTCCACTAATAAACAGATATATTCCATATCATAGAAAAAAAAAAGTGTAATGACAATTTTTTTTCCTGCATAACACATTTAAATAATAATAGTGTATATATCTACCTCTAGGCCGGGATTGTAGTATCCGCTGAGGTACTTGTCGCTAATGCTGACGAGGCACCAGAAGGCCTGCACGGCGGGCATGTGCATCAGCAAGAACGCCGCCACCGGCGCCTGCGCCTGAAAGTAGCCCACCTTGGGGTTCAGCACCGAGTACGCCTTCAGCACCGAGAACAACTCCTGTTGACTGAAACATTATACAGTTATTATTACAAACAACAGGATCTCTTTAAATGTAAACAAATTATATTTAAAACACATATAGTTTTGAAACGTGTAAACAAAAAACTAAAACCCGACTATGACCAAAGAACAGGGTAATCTTACTAAAATACAGTAGTACTTGAATATAGTAGTACTAGTTTCTTACTCTATGCTCTCTAGAGGACGCTGTTGCAAATTTGATGTAAAACTATAGCCTATTACATATTAGTCTATAGCATACGGACAACGAAGGCAGTTCAAGTGATACTTCATTTGTCCAGTTACTATGAGTTGTTTCGAAGTTATAAGGGAAGGGGTTCTTACATACGATAATACGAAGATACGAACTTCTCCAACTCACAATGACGGGTAAAATTCTTGGAAAGGGAAACGTTGGAAGGAGTAAGAAATCATGACTGCGAAATATCAGAACGAGTTTTCAATGTAACAACACTACTTACCCAACTCCCTCCTCCCTTATAAACATCTCGTGGTACGGGAACTGTCTGTGGAGATCTTTCCTGATGTCATCCATGCATTTAGGATCACCTGGCGCTTGCAGAAGCTCCTCGTAATCGTTGGGATGCTTCTCCAGTAGTAGCTGTCCACCGCACAAATATAACCATGCTTTTGGACGTACAGACGCTGGGATACCTGTGAATGGATAGAAATATTAGTTCACCATTGCTTGTCGCAATCATAATCTTATTCATAATCGCATAGTGAGAACTGGATATTTATGCAATGGAGATTAGCAGGTTAATAAGCAGATTAGCCTTCCGAAAGTTTCTCAACATTTGCATACGTAGAGGTTCACTCCATTTTATCAATCAATCGAAATCACTAAGAAATACGCCATCGAGCTCGTCTTACTGTAAACTTGTTTATTTTATTTATTTTTTTTGCTTTTTTCTAACGATATTTGATGATTTCTAACTTTTGAAGTAATGGTTTACCTACGCAGAAAATATGGCCACTATGATAAAATGAATTGATTGAGCCGTCTAAGGTTGTAAAAATTGTAACCGCTATACCAGAGATATCATACTTACAATACTAGTATCCCATACCAATACCAACCCACCTACCCAGTCTTTATTTCTAGGGAGAAGGGCCCAAGGAATATTGGGGAGTTTTAGAGGCTTATTACGTTTATCCTCCCTGAAACAGCCACCCTAAGGTGGACACTCGGAAAAGCGTGTTTATCTATCCACCCTGACCGGGATGGCAGATAGGTATATATTATTATAACACATTTATACTAATAATGTTGATGATTTTATTATTTTAAATAAATTTCATAGGAGGGAGGCTATTCCACAGTCGTATGGCTTGAAGGGTAAAAGAGTCGGACATAAAGCCAGACTGAAAAAGAGGAGTAGAAAGCGAGAGTGTATTAAAAGAAAGAAGTTGTCGATCATCCTCTTCTTTTCCTTAAAGTAACTTACGTAACAATTAATGTTTCCTCTGTTTTACCCTATATTGGCAGCCTACGAATACCATGTCTCGAATTAAATCGTTTCAACCAGCCTGTGCTTGCTTCAAAACTTGACGGCCCTCCGAGTTTATGGTTAAAGTTAACTGCTTTTTCACACGCAATCGTACGAGAAATAGGTGTTCTCCACGAAATCTCCTTTTTATAGTGTGTGTGAGTGAACCATTTTTATACAGCATCACCTAAATCCCTGTTTGAGACAAGTTTCGTCGTTTTACGATTTGTGAATCCGTCAGAAGAATCAAGCTAGGACATAAAGTTACTTATGTTCGTTTTTTTTTATATCCGTAATGGTAGACTTGTATAACTTGGTTGCAGATTCACCTTCCTCTCTCTCTAACTGTTCATGGGTTTTTCGGTTACCCGAATGACCCGGTAAACCAGTCGAATTTTTACTCAAATAAGACCGGTTATTTCGTTTTTTTTTTCAAGGTAATTGAAAAGGTATGTTTGTTTTCATGTAAAAATAAACAAGTAAAAAATATTTTTTGTAGTTTTTATGTACCAACTAACTACACTGGATAGCAAATAAACGGATCAGAGTTATAAGATAGCGAGTGGCCCAGTTATTGTGTATTTATGATTTATTTTGCAACAGAAACATATGCCACAAAATGAAATTGACAGAATAATATTTAATCTTATTCTATAATTCTAATTAGTAATCGCATTAAATATGTCATATTATCAGAGATTTAACAGATATAAATGTACAGGGTATCATCAGCAGCCTTACACCATCTCAAATAACACTGGCTTTATATTAAATATTTATAATACAATTTTGGCATGATAAAAAAAGAGGAATATGGCAATACAATATTAAATTTAGTGCAGCAACTACAAAATTTTCCTGTATATTGTAGACGCTTTCAGCCTTATTCATTCCTGTGTTTGTTATGCTCGATCTTTCGATCTTCACTGTTAGATAGGAAATTTCCTGAAGGATTATAATCATAATAAAGACTAAAATAAAGTGTAAAAATTTGTCAGTTTGCTGTAACCTGATGTAGTGTTTTGTGTACATGGTTATATATATTTCATTACGTAATCGCATGTCGCTCACCTTTCCGACATCGCTCGCGCACCTTCTTGTAGTTTTTGCTCATGAACGCCTCCCAGTTGTCGAGCATGCGCAACCACTTTTGTTCGCGTTTCAGAATCGTGCTCGGTGATACAGTTCTCTTTCTGCAACAATACATTTACTTTATAAAACTTTAAAATAAATAATTTTGTATTTACTTCAGAAAACAAGCGAAGTTGACTATTCCCATACCAAAAAAAGATAAGAAACTTATTCAGTTTCACTCATTGCCGGTATTTAATTACTGACAATCTTCAAATCCAGATCTTACTTAACATTCCTTTACATTTTTCTTGAATTATAGTAGTGTATGCCTATAATATAGTTTAAATAAATACATAAATTCAATTAACAATTGATGTATTCCACTCATATGCAGTGTACTGTGTACACATAGTTTGGGTAGTTAAGAAACTTATATATTTAATGTTTGTATTAATAATTAAATAAAACATATTCAAGAGAATAAATGTTACTATGTACTAAATAAATATTTAGAATTTTTTTACTTATGATTTTAAAAACTTCAAGCCAAGAAATAGGTACATTTTTATTAGTTATGAATGAAATCAAGAATTCGAAAATCCTTATTTAAAAATTCTTCTCTAGAATGTCTCCATTACTGAGTAATATAACCTAAAAAAAACTATAAAATAACAAATTCCCCACTATATATATATTTTATATATAATTAAAATATAACAAAAAAGCGTGTTTGTTGTATCAATACATAGTATTTTATACTATTAAAGTCGCTATCTCTGTCCCTATATCCCTATGTATGCTTAAATCTTTAAAGCTGCGCAATATATTTTGATGCGGTTTTTTCATAGATTCAAAAGGAAGGATTTTATGTATAATACAAGACCACGCGGGCAAAGCCGCTGGCGGAAAGCTAGTTATAATTCCATTAACTCCTTCGGGTGTTTGAAGTACCTAAATATTTAAAATGTCTCTGTTTATATATAAGTAGTTTTGCAAGTAACTAGTGCCGATCTGCTATAATTCCAATTCATGATTGATATAAGGTTAATTTACCTCTAAACTTAATTAAACAGCCAATTAGAAAAATATGTACCATACAATATAAGACATAATTCATATGCCTTACTGATTTCGCAATAAGAGCGTGTTTGTTAATCGCTAACATTAAATCAAACAGCACATACACTATGATACATTTTGATAACATAAAATCAGGCCATCAGCCGTATCGATTTCAACTGTATTACAAGATTAGTCATAGTTTCAGTAAGATATAACAATTGTCATTTATCTGTTTCTAATTCAAACTCTCTAAAATAGAAAGTTGATATTTTTCAAAGCGAGTAAGTTGGATTTAGTAGAGGATTTTTTTTCCAGAGACGATTAACAATACATATTTTATAAATTAAAAAAAATTCATTGGTCAGGTTAAACAAAACTAAAAAATTCCTTCATTTTACTTTAATCTTCGAGAATAGTGTTCAAAATGAACTGCGATGACATATTGTGGTAATCGGACGTGCTGTTGTGTGTACATAAATGGTCTAATGCAACAATATCCTCCTACATTGACTTGGTTGACCAAAAATAGATTAAATTGATACCTAGCAACCTAGGATATAATAAATAACAATAGACAGGTAACTTATAATAACGTTGTACAGTTCCAAATAAAATATGATATTTACATTCCTAACAAATATAGCCTTTTCCCGCGACATGTGCCTAGCCTATGTCACCTGAGTGTGATGTAGTTCCCGTGGGTGACAGAAGTTTAATAAGAAATGATACGGTATTTTCCAGTACAGAATATATTCAATGCAAACAAATAATACATTTTTCTCTTTATAAAATTGTATGTAAGTTGTAAGTGCCTACATACAATGAATATACCACAACACAACGCAAACTGGGAATGTTTTAAAACAATTTTAAGAGTATGTGTAAAATAGTGTAGCTACTCGTCTTGTCTACTGCAGAATTTATTGTTTTCTAAGAACTTTTTCACATCTAATTAAGCGAGCAATAACTAAACTTAAGGAACGTAAGGTGAAGCGGTAAACGACCTCAAAGCGAGGACGTACGGATCCGGAACTAATGCTACGAAGCAAATATGCGGGGATGTTTCATTCGTTACAAACATATTCGCTATGTTACATATGTTTCTTTATCCTGTACGTAATACGTTACTTCACGTAAAGTGCAGGAGATTGCACTAAATTTAACGAAAATATCGGAAACAATCGACAACTCCTACCATATCCAATACGGATATCATCGTAACTGTATTCTAATGAAGTACAGTAAACCAATAGTTTAAGGCTGTTGTTTATTACTATTCATTTATGAAGTCTTTAATATGAAGTTGAAGCTCTATGGAGAATTGACTTTATTTATGAATTGCTGTTTTTTCGCCACTTCTCCCGCGTAAATAAGAACCGGTAGGTAACTTTTTTATTTAATTTGTCCAATACTTTTGAAGACAATTAAATGCAAACAAACATACATTAAAATTATTCCACTTTATAATATTGGTATAGAAAATAAAGAGTTTGTTTGACTGTACTTTAAAGTTTTAAAATAATAGACCTAACATATTTATGTAAAATAATAACAACTTACATTATTACGTCGTAATATATCTACATATATAATCTAACATCTACATCTGAAGAGATATTACATAATCATACTTATAATCAGGAAGAACAAAAATAAGTCCAGATTTATAAAAAGAGCTGTGATGTGACACACTTCAAAACATGGATTTATTTTCCCTATGTCCTAACATTGGTGGTAGCAAAAATATTTTTGTTCGCAAAGCATTTAACAGTATTTTTTCTTTATTGTGATATTTTACGTAGGTGCCATGTAAATGGTTCGGGGAATGCGTTTTTGCGGTTATCATATAGCGGTACGAGAAGTTAGCGTGGGAATTGTCCCAGGTGAAATTCTGAACGTCACGTTGCGTCACACAGTGGGAAATCCGCGAACACGACTTGGGTACTACAAAACAGTAGCATTGAATGTGTTAATCATTGATATTTTCAGGGAATTTATATTAATTTAAATTTGATTAAAAACCCCGACGTAAAAACGAATTAAAAAAAATACATGAAAGAATTAACTTAAATAAAAAGAAAAAAAGGAAGAAACAAGCCCAGGAGTTTAGAATTCTGTTAAGTAATACAGAACAGAACGACTCATAGTCGGGGCCCCTTGGGAAGATTTGATTGGTAAAATTTGATTGGGCCCCGACTATGAGTCGTTCTGTTCTGTATTACTTAACAGAATTCTAAACTACTGGGCTTGTTTCTTCCTTTTTTGTTTTTATTTAAATTAATTCTTTCATGTATTTTTTTAAATTAGTTTTTACGTCGGGATTTTTGTTTTTCTTTAAATTATTGATTTTTATTTTATACTTTTTAGTTACGACTCGTTGACTTCGTTATAAGATGGTAAATTTCGCAATCAAGTTATTTATTGAGCGAGTTAATATCGTGGAGATTATTAAGTAACTTGCGGTGGTCTAAACTACTGATGATTAGTCCCTCTAGAGACCTAACTCGGCTCAAAGCTACATATGCTTAATTTTTTAACCAAAAATATTTGTTCTTCATGCTTTTTCACTGTTTTTTTTTTGTTTGTATATCGTTTATACTTTAAATAAAAACTTTAATCAATAAGTAAGAAAATTAGCGAGAATGTTTTGTTAAACAACTTTAAATCGTTATATATCCTAAACTATTATTTAAAATGAAAAATGATAAAAGGAACCTAAAGATGATTTTAAAATACCCATTCAACGACACCCACTTGACATAGTTCATAGATTTTTATTTTTTTCATTTAGACAATATGGCGTCTGGTTGTCGCTGTGGTGAATTTTGATTACTGTCATGTCTTTAGTGACACTCGCAAGGTTAAGACGAATCGATTGACGTAAGAATCATCAAAATCGGCCTACGCATTTGGTCTCTAGAACGCCACATAGAAACAAACAAACATACATACATACATAGACTGATAAACACATTACCCTCCTTTGAGTCGCGCAGTCGGGTAAAAAGCGTGGTATATGACGTATACTATGCACAGAAAATTTTTATCGTTTCGCCTTATGAGTTGTAAACTTATTGTGTAAACTTATAATTCTTTTATAATTTTTGAACTGAAGAATTGCCTGAAGATATATATCGATTAATTGGGTGGTGACGATGTTTGGTGTTTACTATCTTTGTGTGTTTTCATAAAATACCAGAGATGGAACAGTTAGTGAATGGTCCTTTACCCTAAATGTTTAGGAACCACCGTATTAATATTATCATCTGTTTACGCAAAAACTATTCTTAGTGTGAATAAATCCAAATTAAAATACATCAGTCAAAGTTAGTTAATTTGCTATTACGTTTCAGTGCACGGCATTCTCTTTAAACTAAATGACTATGCTCAAAACATAGCTGTCTGTGATATTTAGTGATTCACTCAATACCTAGACTTAGAATTGCCAGGTGTCCGGATACAGCCGGACATAGTTAGGCTTTTTGATTGAGTGTCCGGTCAAAATAAACGGTGCTCGGTTTGTTGAATCATATTCATATCGACAGTGACTCGAAATAAAATACTTAAGACTGATTTTGCATTATTTAAGAACATTTATGGTAAATAATTAGAAAAACTTGGCTTTTACACTTATATGACACAAAAACCTCGATAGTGTAGGGTGCCCAGCCTTTTTACTCAAATGTCCGGCCAAACTGGCTGGTCTGTACGGCTATTATGTTTAGCGATTTGGTAACCCTACCTAGGCTAGACGTAAGATCTGAGGAGGAATTTGTGTCATTAATTACAAGGACACCTCGACTTGACTACCGAATTATTTAAATAGAAGTGAAAGACCTTTTAATTATGTACACACTTAAGTAATGACGAACGGCGAGCCCGAGTTGATCGCACACCAGTTACGAGGTGTCACCATCTATGAAGTCCCGGGTTCGATTCCCAATCGGATCAATGTAGAAAATGATTTTTTATTACTGTCTCAAGTCTGGGTGTTGTTATAACTTCGTTGTTTCAGATTACCATAATACAAGTACTTTTTTGGCTTGTTATTTGAGAT